ATCAGTAGAATGCTAGGGTATTGTAATTCATTTTATTCTGCTGAAGATCACAATCAATGGGGACCTTGTGATTGTTTTTTCTTCGTCATTTCTTGGATATGTGGAGGAGTGCTTGAAATAGCACAACGCAGGTCATTTTCAACTTCCAATCTACTTAGTTTTCATTTACAACACAGTTGAAAAGCCTGACTCACAAAGATATGTTGACACAAATGGAAGCAATGCATAGTGAGCTCTTTCTGCCACTTTTGGGTAGGAATCGCATATCAAGGGCCAAAATTCTATGACTGATATCGAACATATATCTTGCTCGAGTCAGTCTTCAGCTCCAGAAATTCATCTTCACAATCATCAGGAATTTTTTCAACTGACGGTTTAAAAAGATTTCACACAATCCAACTCCTCATCAATGAGTTCGGGACAACAGCAGCTGAATTCATTTTCCAGTGCTGTCAAATGCTGTAAAATTTCATTTTTTGCAAATTCTGGAAGCACTTGGTCTTCACCGGAAGCAACAGGACTTGATGACAGTTTCTCGAACATTGCAACATTTTTGATGGATGATACAATGAATGCCTTTCACTTTTGGAGCTCGCTTTTTCACAAACTTGAAATCCAGATTTTGTCACCAACATAGTTTGGTGCTCCATCTATACAGCACCCATGGACATTATTCCACAAAAGATTTTCTGTTTAAAAGAAAGATGAAACCTTTTCCAAAATATCTGTGGCCTTGGTAGTTGTTTTGAGAGAACAAAAGAGCAACCCCTCCAGAAATGAACCTGAGTGAACATATCTTTCAGACACCAACAACTGGGAACACGATGCCACATCAGTCGATTCAAGTTGAACTGGAAACAAGCCAAATGCTGTAAACTTGATCTCCTGTATATTATTATAATCAAAACCAAGCGCTAAACCCACTAGTCACACAGCGCTGGATCTCCTGTATAACCTGATCCTTGATGTCATGGCAATATCGCTGATCCTCTTTTGAACAGTACTATTTGAGAGTGAAACTGCAGCAAGTTTTATTCCTCCAGTCCATTTCCCAACACAATTTCCACCATTTTGAGAGCGCAAGGTTTGATCAAAGTTTCCCCAGTTGTACGGTTTTATTTCTGTTTTGCTATCTTCAGTGCTACAACATAAGAAGCTTCAATAACCTTTTAGTTCATTTCTTGGAATACCCGTTGATCCAGTTTCACCTTTTTGAGAGCACTCCCCATGACATTCAAAAAAGCTTTTGTCCTTGTCCTTGTGTTGAGGATGAACATTTTGCAAATGTTGCTTCAAGTTTGGTTTCAGGGAATCATTTAACAAAGCTTTGCTACAAATAATACATTGAGGTTTTTCTTTTCCATTGATGATGATGGATGTGAAACCATATTGAACATAAGAATCATCATACCCTCTTTTTTTCACCATCATGATGAGTTCCAGTTCTGTGAATAAAAAAAAGAATGTCAGATAAAAAAGTGAAAAATTTATCTTAATTTTTAATTTAATGTGACATTCAATAAAGTTTACTGAATATAACAGATTAATTTAAAAAAACTAAAGTTCTACAGATTTTACATAATCTTCAGGTATTATGAACACAGGTGCAGTCTTCTGGCCTGCACGCCTGACTGTAGAATGATAACCACCTTGGAATGACCTATAAGGCAGCAGACTAATTGTTTGTATTTTCTTCACCAAATAATAATCTGGTATGTACAATATATACAGCCTATGTACATTTTTTTTTTAAACAGCCCGTTTCCTACCAAGGCAGGGTGGCCTGAAAAAGAAAAACTTCCATCATCATTCACTCCATCACTGTCATGCCAGAGGCATGCTTACACTACAGATATATAACTGCAACATTAACACCCCTCCACAGTGCCGGCACTGCATTTTCCATCTCCAGGAATCAAGTCCGGCCTGCCGGTTTCCCTGAATCCCTTCATAAATGTTACCTTGCTTACACTCCAACAGCACGTCAAGTCCTAAAAACCACCTATGTACAATATATACAGCTATGTATAGTGAGGCAAATGCAAGCAGAAGACACGGTGAGACCCCAAGCGACCAGATGTGAAGATAAGTCTGCTGAGGATGATTTATGAGTGTGCCACATCACAACTTTGGTGAGCTTCCTTGTGGTTGGCTAGTTGAACCAAGGTACTGGTATAACAATGGGGCCCCTACTCGTTAAACTCTTAGCACCTGGTTTGCTGATCGGGAGGCATGCCTATATGGGTGTCCGACGAACACCAAATAAAATGTAACATACTCTTAGCTTGCCACAACAGGACATCACACTTTGTTGAGTAGTGGTTCCAATACCCCCTGAAACACCTTAAAATTGCCCCCTGGTTGAAAGCCCCTGCTCTGACACTACAAAAGGTGAAGCTAGGCTTGGTTGCCAGTGCTCTTAGCTCACATAGTGAGTGTTTATGGTTCGATCCCAGGAATGGGTGAAAACAGGGCACATTTCCTTCTGTTGCCCCTGTTAGTCGATTTTAGGAACATCAGGGAAGTTTTGTATCCCCTTGATGAGTGGTTTTGAAATGAACTGAGATGGGAAACATTTTACCCTGTAATTGTTTGTATAAAAAAAGAAGACACCCAATTTTAACAAAAACCTGGGGAAAAAAATTCCCTTTATCTGAAGAAAATCATTAAAACATATCAGTAAAGATAACAAAGTTTTTTATTATTTATCAGAGTTACATAGACAAGTAGGAAATTTGGGGACACCAGGCCCAAAAAATGTCCCCCTTCGATACTCCATTTTAAAATCCAAAGTTGCTCTGGCCCTTTTAAATTTAAAATGAAATATACAAACCCAGGAAACGGGAAAATATATAAATTTGTGGACTGATATTAAATTAAAAAATGTTTAAAATTATAAAAACACAATTAAAAAAACAGAAGGAAAATTAAAATTTCATAATATCACTCACCAATTTGACTGGAGTTTAAATGTGCATTATCCCAAAAAACCTCACTGTCTAAATTTTATAAAAATTACTGGCCAGAATTAAACATAAACAGACTTTTTAGGTCCTGGAGTGTGTTGTCAGTCGCCCTTTTTCCCAATTATGAGGGAATGCAACGTCCAACAATTGCGCTCCTATTTGAGAGGTGTCACCCAATTTTAAAACCCCTAGGCCGAAAAAATTTTTCCCATTCACTCTAACTTTCTGTTCAATTTAAAAAAACCAAGATGGTGAGTAACTCTCTGCACGGGGGGTCCCGTTTTCCCTTTTCGTAAATACTTCTTTTAAAAATACAATACCTTTTAAAATTACCTTTTTTTGGGGAAAAAATACAGTATTTTCCACACTGCGGCCGGCGGGGTCGTTTCTAAAAGATTCAAATTACTCTTCCTTTAGGAGATGATTCCCGCGGGGTTTTGGCTTGGTGGCTGTTTTTTTTTAGTGGCTTACTACATTTCATCTTCCGGCATCACTTGGTTGTGTTATCTTTTCCCTTACTCGTGTCACTTTTCCCCCAGATTTTCATTTAGTTTGGGTGAAACCCTAATTCCAAGGGAATAATTTTTAATTGTGCGTTAACTTTATGGCCCCACAAACACTTTGACTTCCTGACAACCCTTGTGCATCTGGGTACGTCAATACTTTGCCCAGAGGCCACAAGTTTCGATGTTGTTCAGTGTCAATTTAACCCAAAATTTACCCCGGTTAATGGTCTTCGATTTACTGCCTCGTCGCACCAAAAATTGTTCCGTATGTAAGAAGAATTCCTTTTAAACCCCACATTAGACCAATTAATTATTTATTTAACATTTTTAAATTTATTCCAACACGCCGCATCATTGTAATCTTCATCATTTCTTCCGGGTTATCTTATAGACAGGGAGCTTCCTTTCCTTTCCCAAATATTAGGTGAGAAGGTGTTAATACTCTGCATCGGTGTATCACTTATTACAAGAGAGCTATTATTTGTACGATTTTCTGCCTTCACTAAACACGACGGAATTCTTCCAAATTAATTCTCTTCCGGTGTAGTCTTTTCGGAGGGGAACCCCTTCACTTGGTTCAGTCTTTTCGTTTTCAGCCCCCCTGCCAAGGGGGGTTTAGGGTAATAAATCTCCCGGGACACCCCCGCTGGGGTTTAAAAGAGATTGAAAAAATTGTTACTATTATTTTAATTCTATCAAGTTTGAGCCCTGCTAAAAAATTTGTGGCATTATCCCAAATCATCAACCTTGGACAGGTCTCTAGTGCAAATTTCGAAACAGCTGTATAAACTGTTCTGCAGACAAGTCCTGTGCCACTTTTAAAAGAACTGCCCTAGTGCAGTCAGCATTGCCGCTTTACCTGGCAGAGTCGGACGTGTGACTATGCCCTCTCTGGCCCTTGGGAGAAACATATTTTCACAACATGGGCAGTCTGTGAGAAGGCTTTGAACGTGTGCATTGAATTTTTGCGTGGTGCAATAACGCCTCAGTCTGCACAAGTGCTTTTACCCAAATTATCCGTG